GTTTCCCTTTCTTTTTTCTCTACTCTTCCTTTACTTGACTTCCATGATGATGACGATGAACATCTTCATTTTGCCATGATGATCATGATGAAGAAGAAGAAATTATTGAAAGAAGAGGAAGAAGGGAAGAATAAAAAGCCTAAGCAAATGAAGGAAAAGCAATTAGTGAACGGTAAAAAAGAGAATATGAAATATCGGAAAATAATGAAATGAATAGAAGGTAAAAGCAAAAAAAAAAAAGGTAAAAACAAAAAAAAGAAGGAATAAACAAAGAAACCTGGAAGGAAGTCGAAATAAGCAAAGGAGGAGGAGGAGAAAAAAAGAAAGGCAAAGGAATAGGAAGAGAAGACGAGAATAAAAATGAGAAAAAAAAGAAGGAAATCAGAAAATGAAAGAGAGAAACACGAAAGTTAAAAACGTTGTACGAAAGATCAACATAAGAAAAAAGAAGAGAAAAATTTACGGATCCAAAAAAGAAAGATGAATAAATGAATTATACAGAGAAGGAATTAGACAATAACAAGAGGAAATCGCTCGAAGACAATTTTTAAATTATGAATAATTTAAAGAAAGTAGCGAAGCTAGAGAATAAAATGATATCCGTTAAAAGTTAGAAGATAACACGAAAAAGTTAATGAATGAAGAATGAAAAAAAAAAAAGAATTAAGAATAATTAAGAAATATAGAAGAATAGATGTAATTGGTTAGGGTTTGGGGTTAGGATTAATCGTTAGGATTAATGGTTAGAGTTAGGGTTAGTAGGGGTTAGGGTTAGTAGGGGTTAGGGTTAGAGTTAAGGATTAGGGTTACGGTTAGGGTTAGGATTAGTGTTAGGGTTAGGGTTAGGGGTTAGGTTTACGGTTAAGGTTAGGATTAGGGTTAGGTGTTAGGATTAGAGTTAGGGTGAGTGTTAGCGTTAGGGCTAGGGAGGATTAGGGTTAGGATTTGGATTAGGTTAGGGAGGATTAGGGTTAGGATTAGGGTTAGGGAGGGTTAGGGTTAGGATTAGGATTAGGGCTCGGTTAGAGTTAGTGTTTACGGTTAGGTTATGGGTTAGGGTCAGGGTAGTGTTTAGGGTTAGGGTTAGATTTAGAGGTTAGGATTACGGTTACGGTTAGATTTAGATGTAGCTGGCTAAGAAAAAGAGATATAATTAAAAAAATCGATGAAATAGAAAGAATATTGAACAATGGAGATGTTAAAAAATGGATAATCAAAAGAAGGAAAGAATGAATGAAATAAGGAAAAAGAATAGCGAAAAATAAGAAGAATGATGAATTAATTTGTAACAAAAGAAAAAAAAGAAAGAAAAAAGAAAGAATTCACAACAAGAGGGAAAATAAGAAAAAGGAATAAAGAAATTTATAGCAAAATAACAAAGAAAAAAAAAAGAAAGAAAGAAAAAAGGAAAGAAAGAAAAAGGAAAAAAATTAACGTAGAAGGAATAAATAAATTTGTAGTAACGGAAGGAATTCTGAATATTAGAATGGTGAAAGAAAGAAAGCACAAATGAAAGAAAACAAAAAAGTTTGAATGAAAAAAAAGAAAGAATCAAATGTGGAAGAGAGGAAAGAAAACGTGAATTAATTACAATTAGAAACGAATGAGGAAATGAAAAACAGAAAGAGTAGCAGTGTGTAAAAAGATCAAACGATGGTCTAGAATTATTTATTGTAGTGTTTGTAAAAAAAAAAGAAAATTCTTTACAAATATGTATAACAAGCTGAAAAATATTAATGTCGTATTCGCTTTTGTTTTTTTTACAAGTCTTTTAATTAGACATTAACCCATTGTAAACATTTTTTTCTATTCCAGAATTCGCCTCGTCAAAAATATTGTCTAAATATATTTTATGTAATCGATATAACATTTTTGGATTACTCCTGATTTTTCTATTGTTTTCTGTTTAAACAAAACTTACGTTGCACTGTTTTCTAATATAAAAACTGATTATTGCAATCTGCAAAAATGGCTAATTCTCTTGTATATATTTTTTTTAATTCCTGTTAAGAAATGCAATATTCAACGTCCCCCGGAAAATATTTCTAAAATAACTTGAAGAATTTTTCTGAAATTTTTTATGCAGTATGCAATGGATGAAATCGACGTCAAAGTTACGCAAAAATGAAAATAACACTTAAACATTTAGCATATATTTACTACAATTACACAAAAGTGTCTTGAAATACTAGAGAAAATTTATTCACTAAAATCACCATTGGTTTCAACCACAGCTTTCAGACAACTTCGGAATCTCCTGCAATTCTTCTAGACAGTCTTCTGTTAGTTGGTTAATGCTGCCATAATCTTCGCCTTCAGTTCATCTCCAGTCTTTCAGGGAGTTTTGTTGGTCTCTTGCTCAGCTGCGCCCCACGCATAATAATCAAGGGTTGCAGTCTGGGGAGTTAGATGGCCAGATGCAAGGGATGATGTGGTTGTTTGACAGCCATGACTGGGTTCTTCTGCTTGTGTGGCACGGTGTAAAGTCCTGTTACCAGACATAGGGTCTTCCAGCGGCCACCCTCTTAACCCAGGGCAGCACTTACCTCCTCACGGCACTTGATGTATAACTCTGTGTCGAGTCTGAGACCCTGTAGGAAGATAGATGAAGATATAACGTCGCCTTCACTATGGATCACTCCAAACACCTTCGTAATCACCATTAGACTCATTCATCTCTTTCCATTCCTCTGCACTCTCCTCAGATTGACACCCAAACACTGAAATATTTCAGCGTAACGTATTCCATTTCCTAATTTCTGGCGGAACGAATTCCGTGATAGTGCTCTTTTTCTTACAGACGGTGCCGAACTGACCCTACTATACTGGGCAGTCGACAATATGAAAAACAAACAACGAGCGTGCACGAAATTAAAAATATAAGATGATGACAATTTACCCATCGCACTTTGATTATACAATGTCACCGGAATTTTTTTTTAAAAAAATAGCTTAAAAGATTTTTTTCTGAAATTTTGTATATTTATAACTCATTGTATTCCCATTGTAACGTTTGAAATGCTATGAAATGTTTAAAAATGCTTCTAACTGGAAATATCTTCACCTTCTGTGGTTTATTTGAAAAACACTAAAGCGAAATAGTTACCGTATTTACTTGTGAATAATACGATAAATTTTGAACGATAATTAAAAGGAAAAGGGGGATCCATATTATACACAAGTACATGTTTTGAGAAATTCTACTCAACATAAAAACCTCTTATTGAAAGCAGCAAGATTGCAAAATAGATAATAAAACACAAGGTAAGCAGGTGTTAATAACAATTGCTTACAAAAGGTTTTTGATATGTCGGCCATATTTGTTTTTCTCTTCATTTTTAATGATGGCAATAAATTTTTTTCTTCATTCTTAATGAACGACAATATTGTTTTATTTTCCGTAGTTTATTAATATATAGAAATGTAAGAAAGTCATATCAAACAGAAAAGTATGATAGATTAATTAACATCTTAAAATGTATTTACTTGTTATGACTAGTTATCTTCCCCTGCCATCAGTTTTCGAACAGAAATTAGAAGAAACATGCAACCGCTTATCGTCTGGATCGTTTCTATTTTTTAATATTGTGAAAAATTAAATATTTTATTAGGAGAGAGTGTTGTCAGTTTAAATTCTAAGAAGCAGTGGCAGGAATGACATCACAGAAACACATTACGCGTTGACATGGGTGTGGGAGGTGTATCAACACTTTAGAATTCTTGCGACCCCCTGTTGAATTCGCATTGTTTTGAACCTGTATCCAAGACCCAGACAAAGTTGATCCATCACTGTCAGAATATCACACCCAGCATGTACTCCGGACAATCGCTGACCATTTTGGCCCTGTACTTCGCATTCTGTTACTTTTTTTTTTACAATTTATAACACTATATTCTTATCACTGAATAATTTTAAAATATTTTTTTAGACTTTTTTTGAGATTTTATACTTTGTTGTAACACATGGACAGTTTTATATATCAAAATGTATAATATAATAAAGATTTATCTAACATTGAAAAATCAACAAAACCCGAAATCAGATGACTTTTTGGAACAGTTCTTTATCTATTAGTATATTTTCTTGTGCCTCATATGAGAAGACAAAATGGGGGATCCATATTATACACAAGTACATGTTTTCAGAAATTCTACTCAACGTAAAAACCTCTTATTTAAAACAGCAAGATTGCACAATAGATAATAAAACACAAGGTAAGCAGGTGTTAATAACAACTGCTTACAAAAGGTTTTTGATATGTCGGCCATATTTGTTTTTCTCTTCATTCTTAATGTTGGCAATAATTATTTTTTCTTCATTCTTAATGAAAGACAATATTGTTTTATTTTCCGTAGTTTATTAATATATAGAAATGTAAGAAAGTCATATCAAACAGAAAAGTATGATAGATTAATTAACATCTTAAAATGTATTTACTTGCATGACTAGTTATCTTCCCCTGCCATCAGTTTTCGAACAGAAATTAGAAGAAACATACAACTTTGAAATCGTAAGATAAGTTTTTTCAACGCTTCTTTATGTATTACCGTATTTTCTTGTGCGTCATAAGAGAAATTTAAAAAAAAACCCTCTTATTTAAAATATCAAGACTGTCCATACACTTAGCACAATAGATAATAAAACACAAGGTAGGCAGATGTTAATAACAGTTGTTTACAAAAGGTATTTGATATGTCGGCCATATTTGTTTCTCTCTTCATTCTATTTATTTTCCTAGTTTATTAATATATAGAAATATAATAAAGCCAGAACAAACAAAAAAGTATAATAGATTAACATCTTAAAATGGATCATTCGTCATGCCTATTTTGTACCTTTCCCTGAAAATTCGAAAATAAGTTTTGAAACAGAAATTGAAAGAATTGATCGACTGAATTGTTTGTTTAACGGCATATCAACATTATTATGGGTAATTTAAATCCAATCCTAATTGTTATGGGTCATTTAAATCCAAAATCCAAAATATAATCTTCTTTGAAGTAAGAAAAATATGATATATGTTATTTGGCTTTCACAGTTGAAATCATGGTCGATGATACTCAGATTTTGTGCATATAATTTTTTTTGTGGACGGAATTACAAGAGGCGGTGATATGTGTGTTTTATATTGTAGTTTTGTTAAAGTTATATTTTGGAATACAGTTTGATTTCTTTAAGAAATTGTAGAATATTATATGGCTTAATGTCATGAAAGAGTTCTTTCATTCTGGTTGTATGGTTGGATGATTGATTTTGTTTAGTAGCATACCAACATCTATGGATGATTTAGTACCGAAATCTAAATATTTGATAGGTTATTTTATTCTTTCAGCTACAGATATTCAGTACTTAATTTTATACTTTCAGAGTAAAGGTATGTTTAGATATATATTTTGTTCATCATAAAATTTATTTATTTATGGTCATTTTATTATAAATAAAATATGTTGAATAATCCGAATAATGTAAATAATTCAAGTAATCATAATATCTCATCACAGAGATCAAGTCATCTAAAGAAGACCGGAGCGTACAATGGCCGAAACGTTGTGAATATGGCAATGAAGATGAGATTAACAGTCCGAATAATGTAAATAATGCAAGTAATTATAATACCTCATCTCAGAGATATAGAGGTAGAAACGTTGTGAAAATGACAATGAAGATGAAGATAACAGTCTGAATAATGTAAATAATGCAAGTAATTATAATACCTCATCTCAGAGATATAGAGGTAGAAACATTGTGAATATGGCAATGAAGATGAAGATAACAGTCTGAATAATGTAAATGATGCAAGTAATTATAATACCTCATCTCAGAGATATAGAGGCCGAAACGTAATGAATATGACAATGAAGATGAAGATAACAGTCTGAATAATGTAAATGATGCAAGTAATTATAATACCTTATCTCAGAGACATAGAAGCCGAACCGTAGTCAATTTGGCAATGAAGATGAAGATAACAGTCTGAATAATGTAAATAATGCAATTAATTATACTACCTCATCTCAGAGATATAGATGCAGAAACGTAGTGAATATGGAAATGAAGATGAAGAGAACAGTTCGAATAATGTAAATAATGCAAGTAATCATAATACCTCATCTCAGAGACATGAAAACAAATCAATCGATCTGCGACAGATTTGATGTTAATTTTTGAAGACACTAACAGTACGATTACTGATAATATTATCAGGAATATTTTATTAGATGACATATTACCAGTCATTATTAATTTCTGACACATATTTCTTTCATCTTAATTCTCGTTACTTTATTTGCCCGATTGCATGTGCTGGTACCATCCAAACACATGCGGTCTTTAAATAATTTTTAAATGAATAGTTGTTGTTTCGTAGGTCAACTTAAGCTGGATTAAGCTCTTACCACCATTACCTCTAACGATATAATGACGGTTTACATCTGCTTTCGGATGATGCATGTTATGGCAAGTAATTAATTTCTTAAGTTGGAATTCATAATCTTAAAGAGATAGGTAATGGCTTACGGTCACATCACGTTGAAACAACAGTTGGCGTACGATCCCCTCGTCCTGGGTAAGACGATAAACTACATCCAACAGCAAGCACTCTGATCAGGAGGTTTTGAGGAGCATGGAAGCGCGTCTTAATTGCTGGTGTTCCCAGGTTCACCCTGACCGGGGTGGTAGTAGCTGTTAGCTACGAGCAAATAGGTAACCCCCAAAATATGGTC